GTGTATCGACACAGTGCGTTAGAAAATCACGTAGTATGGTAAGAGTGTGTATTCGACACAGTACGTTAAAATATCACGTAGAATGGTAATAGAGTTTGTATGCGACACAGTGCGTTAGAAAATCCCGTAGTAAGGTAATATTAGAGTGTATATTCAACTCAGTACGTTAGTAAATCACGTAGAATGGTAATAGTAGAGTGTGTATCGACACACTGCGTTAGAAAATCACGTAGTATGGTAAGAGTTTGTATTCGACTCAGTACATTAGAAAATCACGAAGTATGGTAATAGTAGAGTGTGTATTCAACACAGTGCGTTAGAAGATCACGTAGTTAGGTAGTAGTATAGTGTGTATTCGACACAGTACGTTCGAAAATAACGTGGTATGGTAATAGTAGAGTATGTATTCGACACAATACGTTAGTAAATCACGTAGAATGGTAAAAGTAGAGTGTGTATCGACACAGTGAGTTAGAAAATCACGTAGTATGGTAAGAGTGTGTATTCGACACAGTACGTTAAAATATCACGTAGAATGGTAATAGAGTGTGTATCGACACAGTGCGTTAGAAAATCACGTAGTACGGTAAGAGTGTGTATTCGACACAGTACGTTAGGAAATCACGTGGTATGGTAATAGTAGAATGTGTATTCGACACAGTTCGTTAGACATTCACGTAGTATGGTAATAGTAGAGTGTGTATCGACACAGTGTGTTAGAAAATCACGTAGTATGGTAAGAGTGTGTATTCGACACAGTACGTTAAAATATCACGTAGAATGGTAATAGTAGAGTGTGTATTCGACACAGTGCGTCAAAATATTACGTAGTATGATAATAGTCGAGTGTGTATTCGACACAGTATTTTAGAAATCACGTAGTATGGTAATAGAGTGTGTATCGACACAGTGCGTTAGAAAATCACGTAGTACGGTAAGAGTGTGTATTCGACACAGTACGTTAAAATATCACGTAGTATGGTAATAGTAGAGTGTGTATTCGACACAGTGCGTTAAAATATTACGTAGTATGATAATAGTAGAGTGTGTCTTCGACACAGTACGTTAGAAAATCACGTAGTATGGTAATAGTAGAGTGTGTATTCGACGCAGTACGTTAGAAAATCACATAGTATGGTAATAGTAGAGTGTGTATTCGACACAGTACGTTAGAAAATCACGTAGTATGGTAATATTAGAGTGTGTATTCGACACAGTACGTTAGAAATTACGTAGTATGGTAATAGTAGAGTGTGTATTCGACACAGTACGTTAGAAATCACGTAGTATGGTAATAGTAGAGTGTGTATTCGACGCAGTACGTTAGAAAATCACATAGTATGGTAATAGTAGAGTGTGTATTCGACACAGTACGTTAGAAATCACGTTGTATGGTAATAGTAGAGTGTGTATTCGACGTAGTACGTTAGAAAATCACATAGTATGGTAATAGTAGAGTGTGTATTCGACACAGTACGTTAGAAAATCACGTAGTATGGTAATATTAGAGTGTGTATTCGACACAGTACGTTAGGAAATCACGTGGTATGGTAATAGTAGAGTGTGCATTCGACACAGTACGTTAGAAAATCACGTAGTATGGTAATAGTAGAGTGTGTATCGACACAGTGCGTTAGAAAATCACGTAGTGTGGTAAGAGTGTGTATTCGACACAGTACGTTAAAATATCACGTAGTATGGTAATAGTAGAGTGTGTATTCGACACAGTGCGTTAAAA